TCTCCCTTATTACGAGTGATGTTGAACATTTTTTCATATGCCTGTTGGCCATCTGCATTTCCTCTTTGGAGAAGTGTCTTTTTAGCGGAAAGGTGCATTTTTAGGTAATAAGGAGAGGGGTGAAATAAATGATAAGAATGACTCATTAAGATGACTAAGAGCCTTGAGTCAACCAAGTTTCTAGAAAAGTAGAACAAAGACACATTAGGCAATGATTTAGGGGTAGGGTGGGGGAGATTTTGGGCAGAGGTAGATGGGCAGATTCTAATTTGATCAAATGATTATAATCAGATGGAATAAAACAAGCAGAGCATAAGAAAAGGAATATTGTGGGCTTCTGACTCATTTGAGGTTCAAATGGGAGTCTTATATGTTTGCTTGATGTATAACTAGATAAAGAAAGTGAATAGAAGAAAGTGGCAGGTAGACATGAGTAAGAACTATAAATGCTGTATAAATAATTTGAAAGGATCACCATAGCAAAATACTACAGACTGGGTGGCTTAAACCACAGAAATTTATCTTCAGCGTTGGAGATGGGGAATCCAAGATCAAGGTGTCAGCAGATATGGTTTCTTCTGAGGCCTCACTTTCCTTGGGTTTCAGGAAGCCACTTTCTCACCTTGTCCTCAAAATCTGTGTTGTGCCCTGATTTCCTCATTTCATAAGAACACCAGTCAGAAGCCTAGGAGCTTCCAAAGAGACCTTATTTTATAGTTGCATGATTTCCTTTGATGAAATGGTCACATTCCAGGATCTGGCCCTTGGGCTTGTGGTCTCATAAACCTAATTTTATCATCCTGCAATAAACAAATTTACCTCTTGGGGTGGGCTCTCATTATTAACCAAGCTTATAAAACTGAGTGATAAAACAGAATAAGAATAGATGAGTAATGTGTCCATCACAGACATCAGCCTGAATTAATGAAGTGTTTTTTATTATAGCTGAGCTTTATAAGAAGTTAATAAGATTCCTTGATATGGATGAAATCAGAAGAATAGTTGATATAACAAAAGTTTATTACAAGAACAAGTTAATGAGCCTGTTGTATCTGCTGCCTCTAGGAATAATTTTTCCAATAATATAATCAGTCATTTTTGATTCTAGTGTTTGATTTCTGTTCCAATTATCAATGTACTGCCTCTAAGTTTCAAATCTACCTTTCAATGTCTTGCTTGTGATACTGAAAGCAATGTTTCTACCTTGCCAACTGGCATAATGTGAGCTTTGCCCATAAATTGGAAGTGAGAGAGTCACTGGAAGAGAAAGGGGCTTTTGTCCCTGATTAAAATGTGCTCTGTTTTTTCCTGAAGTACATGGGGCATCCAACAGTGCATAATCCCATTACTTTCAGAGCCATCATCCCATGGGTGGCTTTCCAGCAAGTTCTGGTAACACAGCACATCAGTAAACATCTCCTGCTGGTTCACAGTTGTGTGCTCCAACAAGATCTGGATCTCATCTCTGGCAGAGGATGAGGAAGACCTGGCACCTTCCTGCAGATATCTTCCTTCCATGAGTGTTCTGCCTCAGTCCTAGAGACATCCCGTATATGTTATTCCTCGAGAGTTTTATTCTTTAGAAGTTTTTTAATTTACTTAGTAATTAATCCCATCATGGATAATAAACCTTAATATTAATCGCACTTTTCCTGTTCAAGTCACTGGGGTAGCTTTGGATACTGATGCAGTATACACTGCCATCTAAGGAACTGTCATGCCATAAGTTAAGAGAATATTGGTCTTTGGATATTAATAGAGAATTTTATTGGAGACCTTAATTCTTAAACACAAAATAAATAATACTGTCATTTCAGATTCTAAGGAGAGCCAGTGGAAAATATTTCTAGGCAAGAAGACCATTCCATAAAACATAATCACAGCCACAAGTGACTGTGATGAAGAAAATCAAACATGTCACAGATGGTAGCCCTCAGCTCTGCTCTCAACCCCAAATGGATTATAGCTCCTCACCTCTCACGTGGAAATTCTGGGGCTCTGGAGCCTCACTCTTATACTGGTTCTCCCCGGGCTGAAACTGACTTCTAAGAGCTTTCAATGCACCTTTTGATGTCATTTCCTTCCAGATCATTCCTTGACCATGAGCTGTGTCCTAGGCAAGATCAAGTACCAACATGATTAATCTCAGATTATATAAAAAGATTAAATAGGCAGAGAAGTGGGAACCAGAAACTCATTCAGAAGACTAGATAGGAAATAACCAGATTGGGCCCCAGTGGCCCAACGAGTTGGGAGTACAGCAATGTGAGGCGATCTGCAGCCACTGCAGCACAAGTTCGAATCCTGGCTTAGGGGGTGGCCCACATGGCGCAACAGACCTCTCCTGGCCTGTCTGCTGCTCCCCTCACAAAGTATCTCAGTTGATCTGTCTATTCTGCTCCCCACTCTGTCTCTGGTGAATCCTCTCACCACCCCGTCCCCCCCGCACCTCTGGCCTGACCCAGTTCTAGTATGCATAAAATATAGAAATCTTAAGAAAAAGAAAACAACCAGACTAAAAGCTCAACTAACTTAATCACAGTGAATGTAAGGTAACCCAAAAAACAAAAATGTTATGATTCTGATAGCCAGTCAATGCTACATGACAGCCTCTCCACTAACTTATTTTTTTTTAAAGGATTTCTTTTTTTTTTTTTTTAAGATTTTTATTTATGTGTGCATACAGAACTGGGGTACAGGCCAGAGGTCAGGGGCGGTGAGAGGCTTCACCAGAGACAGAGTGGGGAGCAGAACAGGCAGATCGACGAAGTACACTGCTGAGGGGAGCAGCGGGCGGGTCAGGAGAGGTCTACCATGCCATGCGGTCACCTCCGGGGCAGGCGGGAATCGAACTCATGCGGAAGTGGCTTTAGCTTCTCAATGCTGTGCTTTAACCCGCTGCGCCACCAGGGAGGGCCCTCTCCACTAACTTATAATAGGTAAAACATAAAAGCAAAAACCCCTATTTCTTACCTGTTGCCTTGGTTCATCAAGCTCTCTCTCCAGCTCCTCCAGCTTAGTCACAGCTTCCTCTCCATTCTCTGGTTGGTGCTCTAGCAGCCAGGCCTGCAGCTCCTCAGGCAGGCTAGCCAGGAACTGCTCCAGGACCAGCAGCTCCAGGATCTGCTCCTTGGTGTGCACCTCTGGCCTCAGCCACTGACAGCAAAGCTCCTGGAGCTGGCCCAGCGCCTCCCGGGGCCCAGCAGAGTCAGAGTAATCAAACTGCCTGAACCTCTGGCGGAAGGTCTCCTTGCTATGGACATTTCCCTGAAGGCCAAAGTCCTGCCCCCAAACATAATTCTCTTCTTCAAGCTTCATAATTATAAGTCCTTCTTTTGAAGAATGAGGAGCATGGTAGGCCAAGGTTGCAGACTTTCCTGACATACTGGACAAAGATAGTCTGAAATCACTACCCAGCTGAGATTGGGTAAAAATAGAGGTCCGTGTCTGAGGTTCCTTCTGAATTCCAATTCTTCAGGGATCTCCTGAGGTAAACAATGCTAACGTTATATAGAGAAAAACATGCTTAGAGTATAAGTATAGGTTTTTGGAGGCAAGTTGTAATGGAATGTAGCACACAGTAAAGAGAATTGACTAAGAATGAGTTTCTGCATTAATCATCCCTAAATGATTGAAGATTTTCAGCATGTGAAATAGAAAATTTGAATATCATCAAAATCAATTAAACCTTTAGTAACAAGACTAGGGACAACATTAGGAATAATAAATAGCATGTGTAGACCATGAAAAGCAGGAGAAATGCTGAAGTATATTATTATGTCTCAGAATAATAATCATTTTATTGAGCACCTACTAGAGGCAAGCACTAACTGGATAATTCACAAATTTTACATTATTTTCCTAAAAATTCTATAAGGATAAGCATAGTTATGCTCATTTTCTAAATGAAGCTACTGAGAATCTTAAGAAAACACCGCTAGTAAGCAGCAGAACTGGGCCCTGCAGGCACCATATTAACTCTATTATGCTGGGGAGAGCGATCACCCTAGTATAGGGAATTTATATTTAATAAACACCTGTTAAGGATCAGGCTCTTTATGAATACTGTTTCAGGAGGGACGTATCAATATCATTATGAGGTAAGTATTATCCTGATTTCACAAATGAGGAAACTGAGGTTCTTGAAAGTTAATTTGTCCATGACCCCAAATTGGTTAACAACAAAGTCAAGACATGAACCTAGTTTCCCCACTCTATAAAGGACTTTTATTACAGAATGGGTTGATGCCTATGATAATCTTACTTGATGCTATAAATGGTGGTGAAAATGTTAGGAAAGGGATGAAAAATGGCCAGGGTGAAGGTAGAATTATGCTTGACTTTATGTTACAAGAGACTGAGACAACACAGTGAATATGGATTCCTTCATCCATTATTTAATAAATACTGGACCATTTACATTGTACTAGGCAGTAAACAAGGCTCTTGGGAGTCCTCAAGTACTCCTAGGAAAGTGGCAGGTAAATACAATATGATAAACTCAAGTAAGAAGGGGAGCAGATAAAGAGGCACAAGAAGACTAAGACTAGGAAGATGGGGTAGGAAGAGCCAGGAAGAGCTGCCTGCCTAGGGGAAGACATCTCAGCAGCTTACTGTGAGTGAGCCCATAAAGATGCAGAGAAAGAGCATTCAGGCAAAGACAATGGATATGAGAGGTTGTAGGTGACTGAGGAAACCATAGGCAGTTTAGGGAGGCCAGACTAGTGATTGTCACCTGTGGCTGTGACAGAATAATTCATGGAACATGGACCCCATGACAAACCCACTGAGTCAGGATCTCTAATAGTGGGGCTTACAGTAAGCACCACAGTGACTCTGATATGTAGCCAGGGTTAGAACCCTATGCCAGAACCTGGAACTGACTTAAGGCATGAAGGAGTGAAGACGCACCTAGAGAAAACCAGTCAGGCCAAGGGTCTAACAGACTTTGCATTTGATTCCCACAACCAAGGGGATTGCTGGAGGGTCAATCCCATCACCCTAGACTGGTGTAGAGAAGAGATGGAAGGGCGTCTATTACAGCTACTTTGGGTCATGTAGGTATGAGTCATGGCATATAGAGACATAAAAATGAAAAATTTGGCAGGATTTAGGGACATACTGGATGAGGGTTTGGAAGAGAGATAAATCAAAGACTTGGGTTCAGGCTGGCCCTGGTGACTAAAAGGATGTTGGTATCATTTACTGAACAATTTTATTTTAAGAAAGTTAAGTTCGAGATGTGAATAAAGCAGCATTTCCTAAACTGTCCTCTGCCAGAGAGGACAGTAGATGCTTCCTACACATCCAAGCACAGAGAAACTTGGAAATACATATTTCCTTAATTGTCTAGTATAAGGAAAATACTAATACACCCTTTTTTAGTTCTTCTGGCACAATGGACATGTAAGAAGTCCTGTGATGAGGCACCATCAATCTTTTCCTCTGGGAGAAAGTGGTGAACCTATTCCAAGCATCCCAATAATGTCCAGACACCTTTGGACAATCTTTTGCTATAGGAGGCTGTTACTGTAATCACTATGCATTATCTGCTTACCTACTGTAACAGAAAACACTAGTTTCAGACTATCCTACTTGGTACAGCAGGTAATGCAAATGCATTATTTGCTTTAATTATAACAGAAAACACTAATTGAAAACACTAATTGAACTTTTACAGATTAGATTCAAGACTGCTTTAACTGTGTTTTCATTCATTTCATCTTCACAGCACTCTATGGTCTGGGTCTACTGTTTGACTGGGGAGAACAGAGAAGTCATACAATTTGTCCCAGTTTATAAAGTTTGTAGGTAATTCAGTCAGGACTATTTGAAACTATATGATCTGACTCCAGAGACCATCCTCTGCTGAAATGCCTTCTCACATGTGTCCTCTCCACGGAACCAAGCACCCTTTTGAAGAGGGCCTGTGATTTTTCACACATTTCTTTAACACTTCGTTGGGCAGGCACTGTGCCAGGCAGGCGAGGGCAGTCTTGAATCAGACAGCGCCCTTGCCATACAACAATGTAACAGTAGGATGAGGCAGACCTTAAACAGAAAGTACACAGAATGCCTGATTTAATGGTGATAAGGACTACCGGGAGAAGGCAGACAGCGCTCTGAGAGAGTGTGATAAAGAATATAACCTAAACTGTGCAGTCCTTACGGACAGCTGAAACCTGAGAGCGCCGAGGCCGCGAGAGAAGTGGGAGGAAATATTCCACCAAGGTCCCCCGACTTCTCGGCCTGTGGCCGGGACCACTGGAGGAGTCCAGAATGCCGGGGAGGTGCAGGAGAGGGCAAGGGATGAAACATCACAGGACAAGCCGACCGACAGACGCGGGGCGGACAGAAGGCCGGGGAAGAGTGGCCCACCGGGGAGCTCCCGGCTCTGCTCTCGGCTGTGGCTTGTAGAGGCGGCCGCTGCCGCGGCCGGGCGGCGGGGAGGGCAGAGGCCTGACAAGGGCAGTTTGGGGAGCACCCGAGGCCGCGCTGCCAGACACCTCACTCACCCTTCGCTCCGCCAGCTGTGAAACCGACCTCAAGGAACGGAGCCCGAGGGCGCCGGGCCAGGAGCCGAGGTGGGGCCGGCGCGCCCCTCTAGGAAGCCCGGAGGCCGGCAGCTCCGGCGGCGCGCTGCAGTGCGGGGGGCTGGGGAGTGGGGTGCGGGACCGCGAAGGAGCGAGTCTGTGGGTGGGACCCGCCGAACAGCGCCGATTGGAAACCGTAGAGCGAGACTGGAAGAGGCGGCGGGGGAAAGGAGAAGGATGGATGGATGGATGGATGGATGGATGGATGGATGGATGGATGGATGGATGGATGGATGGATGGATGGATGGATGGATGGATGGATGG